AATGTACAAGAACAGATAACAAAAATGTGCAGCATTTTTTCAGACTCAGTGCTTCACAACGTATGGTGTGCATCAGAACTGCATTGCCTTAGTGCCGTTGTGGTACCATGCAAAATGAATGGGACCGCGTGATGGTAATCTATGCTGAGAAAAATACAAAGGCTGCCTTTGGTGACCACCTTCTGGAAATGTTAATTGCTTGTCTGTCATCATACTCCAGCTTTCGTATTTGAGTCTAGGACTGCAACTAATGATTATTTTTATAATCGATTAGTTGGCCGGCTGTTTTTTCGATTAATTGGATAACAAAAATTAAATACCATTCTTAATTTAAAATAAAATACACAAATGCAGTGTTATAAACATAAAGTTTACTTCAGAATAAAACTGCATGCACTTTTTTTGCAATTGCACTGCACTGGAACGCTCAGCATTGCGGACTGTGCATTCCAGTGTGGGTGACCACACTGTGGGTGGGAGGCGCGTTTGGGGTGCCATTGAAATGAATAGAACTGCAACGCACCTCCCGCAGCAGAATTTTAAAGGGCCAAAACCAAAAATGACTTTTTTTCCCACCTATTTATAATCATTTTTTCTTTTTAATACTTGTATTGTAAGCACATGGTGCTAGAATAGCTTCAGCCCAGGAATGACGGCTGCCACTGGCAAGATTCCGAAGACTGCAGCTGAATGTAAACTCTAAGAGAGTGATTCAAATACGACTGCAACCAACTAATTGATGATGAGAATAGTTTTCACCTATTCCCATTATCGATTAGTTGGTTGGATCCCCTAGCTCTCTACTCCATGCTGAGAGGAGGGCACAGCAGCTAGTAGGCTGGTGCAATTGCCAGCCTGTTATTAGCCATTTCAAATTGCAATAGCCAATAGCAGGCTCGCTAATGCACCCGCCCACTGCTTGCTGTGCCATCCTCCCAGCGTGGAGGAGAGAGCTAGGGGATCCAACCAACTAATTGAGAATCGTTGACAACTATCGATTTGTTGGTTGCAGCCCTAGTCTCTCTCTTAGAACAAGTATGTAGATCTGGCATCCCTGTATCAGTTACTGCATGCTTGCTTGAGTGCAGCTATTGTCAAATGATTAAAACAAAGGGATCAACATGACAGCCAGACAAATAACAACATTTTTAGGATAAACTCCGCAGTTGCAGCTTACGTTTTTTCCCCGTTTTTTTAAGTAATTTTCCCTTTAACTATGTAGGCTGGTACTCC